AGAAAAATGTCCCCCTTACCATTCTGTGATGCCTCTGGCTAGATCCAGCTGTGAAAGATCTAACAGCACCTGTGGACACGAGCAAAATTCGGTCAATTATCCAGACCGAGCGGTACAAAGAAAGTGGCGTGGACTTTGATTCTGCAAATTCTGTGCAAAATAAAAACATTTGCAACACTAAACCACAACGAGCCAAAGTTGGAAAATTAAAGGCTGTATATTTCTCTCACCGATGACCGTCTAACAGCATGAAGCAATTCAGCTGCCACCAGCCTTTAAAATACTGAGTCAGGAATAATAATACATGTTATACAACAAGTAGTGTTACCTACCATGCCAATGTCCTTTCTCTCTCGCGTGTGAAACATCCTGTTATTTTTCACTGACACGTCCAGCTTCCTAGTTTGTGCTTCTTCAAGTGACACATCAAACTCAAACCTGCAATAAAAGAGGGTTGGCAGATGGAGAAAAGAAAGCGCCAGACACAGTCTCAACCTCTGAGCTTTAAATATACAGAAACTATCAATATGTCCATTTTTTCTTGAATCCAGTGAACCTACTTGTCATTGAAGACAGGATTGACCGTCCTCTTTTTGACGTGTGTCTTTTTGCGGTGTCTCCAGGTTTGGTCGGGCAGCAAATACAGGCGGACGTAAGAGTCTGTGCCGTTCTCACTGCAGGGGAATAAGTTCCTGTAAGAAATAGATGATAGCTCGTCACAGCTGGCCTTGCATTTTCTTTTAAACAACACTGCCATAAGAAATTTGAAAAGAAAATCATTTGTGTATTTAATACAGCCTTGGTCACTATTTTTACGTGTTAATTCTCAGCATTCAAAACTACTTAATGCTGCCTATTGGCTTTTAAATGATCTCAGCACACATTGGCTTCACTACATCCTGTCAACTAAAAAAGAAATTATATGGCATATCCTGTACATATCCATAAACATGTTTATTATGCCACTTCTGTACATGTGAAAGTTGCACAGAATGTTTATTATATCTTTATTTTAAGCCTTATTGTGCTTCTGTATTTCTTGCGCTGTGCCTCATTTGTATGATGCTGCTGTAACATGTAAAGTTCATCTCATCTCTTCTCATCTTATCTTACATGCAGTAGCAAATATACAGACAAGTGACAAATTGCAGGACAACCTGAACCCTTGACCCTACAGAGAGGGGATCTGGTGGCTCTGTTGTGCTATGTGGGGCGTTTTGCTGGCACGGTTTGAGTCCACTTTCCCCCTGAAGGGCAGAGTCACTGCTAACTGACACACAGATGTTCTGAGCATCACCTTTATACTGTGGTGACACATTTCTATTCTGATGGGAGTTGTTGTAAGAGAATCTGAACTGATGTGTTAGACAGCGCTCTTCACCACCATCATCAAAACACCAAATGAGAGAATATCCTTTGTAAGAATGGCGTTCATCCCTCCAGTAGAGTTCAGGAGACTTTAACATTGGTTTTTCCTGTAATTTGTCACCCATCTGTATATACTCTATATTCAGGCATAGAAACTGAAATGTGAATGTTAGCACACAGGTAAAATCCTAGTCACTATTGGTGCCGCTGAAAGGTACGAGTGAGGACGGATTTTAGTGACATACCTGCAAGAGTTAACCAGGACGATGAGTTTGTTCCTCAGGGTAGCAAACCGCACAGTCAGGTTTATCTCTCCAAATGAACCCTGATGTTTCCTAATGGCCCTGTAGAGGTAAAAATGTACTTGCAAATGTCACTTTTATTATCTGTTAAAATCCATCTAGCTCATAACATCTGTGGAAAATCAGCAATAAAGGTCTGAACAAGACGTGGACAGACACAGAAAAAAAAAAACAAGGACTCACTCTGGATAGGACGCGCCGTCTGAGAGGTCGAAACGTGACGAAGCGAGGGAGTTCTCTGACAGCAGGCTGTGAGAGTCGAACCGACGCATGTTTTGTGCCGAAGAGGGCGACTTCCAGGTTTCACCAGCCAGGTAGGAGCCACGGCGGTGAGCTAAGTAGTCCTCATTTGAGCCATTCTGTGAAGGAGCCAGCCGGGACGGAGAAGAGGCGACAGGGATGTTGTTGGAGGGAACCTCTGGAGAGGACGACGCAGCAGTGGAGGGTCCGGTGTTACCTCCTTGGCTGCTCTGTGATGTTTGTTGTTTGGGTTGTGGAGGAGGATCCAGGACAATCTTGGGCGGCGGAAGGTCCTCAGTGAGAACCTACAGTGACCCGATGAACATCACAGCATGAGACCTCACTTTCTAACAATCGTTGTATGATTAAAAAAAAAAGAAAAAAAAAAGAGATGATTAGCTGAACACGAGGCAAAGAGGGAAGGAAATGTGTGTGCGGTTGCAAACTTGTGTGCCGACCCTGAGAGTGGCCTTCAGTTTGATCTGACTGTTTGCTCCGGAGCGCTCCAGGGGGAAGCGCTGGTCTACCATCATGTTGGAGGTGCTGAGGAGGCGACTGAGGGGCAAGTTCAGAACACCAAGCAGAGTCTTCTTCTCATGCTCTTTGACCTGAACCAAAGAAAATATGGAGAACAGTGAATCAATTAACCTCCTGAGGACTGAAAGATGTCGAGTTTTATATTAAAGCGTTGCAGCATTAGTGTTCTCACTGTCTAGTTTTTATTCGAGGGGATGTAACAACGGGAAAATCAGACCTATGAATAATGTGTGAGGATGATTTACAGTCAGTAGCTGGCACACGACCTCTAAATATGGTGATGTTAACTTTTGAGGAATTGTCATGAGGTCTGACCACTGCCGATTGAGATAGACAGAAAAAAGTAGGAACATGCTAAATGAACTCAGCAATGTATTGTTGTGATGTTTGCAGGGTTTATAGATGAGAACATTCCAGCAACACTTCTTCTGGAAAGAAAGGACTTTAGTCTATTGTGTCCAATGCTAAAATAACAAACCTGAACGATGAGCTGCTGCGTTCTGACATTATGCACAAAGAAGGTGAATCCCTCCTCAAACACTGGGTCCTTAGACGCATACGCAACCTGTTGAGGAAGTGGGCAGGTGAACAACTGCAACTGAATGGTTTCATCAGCAGAAAAAGCAACACAGTCACCGTGCTGTGTGACTGCAGCACCTTCAACCACAGATTTTACATTGAGAAATGGAACTTCGCTGTTTTCCAGGTTACAAGGGAAAACGGTGCATCAGTGTGGTGAAGCGAGAGTGATACCTTGCTTTTCTGCACCTCCTTATCAACGGAAAATTCCACAAAGGAGTTGGGATTGGGGGTTCTCCTTGTGAGCTGGAAAGAAAGCAAATCAGGGAAGCGGCAGTGAGTACATGTTTAGTTGTGTCTACTCTAATTTATCACCACTGCCTCACGCCAGTGAGCTGCAACATCCAAACCACTGGTAAGTGAGGTGAACAACACTGATCATTTTGTTAGAATGCAATGCAACCTGGTGTCCTGAAATTATGCCTGTGGAGATGCTCAGTCATCCAAGTCATGGCATGTGCTTCAGAAGAAGGCAACTAGACATCTTACTGGTCAATGAAGACTTTTTTTTCCCCCCTCATCCAGGAGGCTCTCTCACTCTTAACTGCCTGATGGTGACTCCCCAGGAAGTTTGGCAACCATTCACACACTGAGCCATGTCGTTTGGGAATGAGAATAAATACCTACCTAATAGTTGGTTAAAACTGAGGAAGTCTCTTGGGTGAGAAGACATCTTCAAGAATCAAGTGGGTGACCAAGCAAACCCTCCCCACAGCAATTACCCACCCTGACAGCAGCAGACTTCCCCAGCAGGACAATGCACCCTGCCACACTGCAAAAACTGCTCAGGAATATCTTGAGGCAGGCATTGACCCTGGCCTTCAAACTGATCCCAGATTCCAATCTGATCTAGTGTTTGCAGGAAGTGCTGAAATAAGCCCAATCCTTGGAGGCCAACACTGCCAACATCCCGGTGTCAGACCCCACAGGACTTCCCTAGAGCTGTTGTGGCAGCACAGTGGACACCTACGCATTCTGTCCATCAGTATCAACATTAAAAACATTAAACATTTCAGTAATTTCCCAGACTGGGATAAATAAGGTATTTTTCTATTATATTCTTCTTAAAAACCTAGTTACACTCTGTGACAAAGCAAAAGACAATGTTGGGGTGATCTCCCTTAACTACACTGGGAAACATTTACAGTCATAATCACATTTTAAACAACCAGTAGGAGTAAATCAGCGGTCAGCAGTATAATTGCAGCCACTTGACAAATCATGTCGCGCCTACATTCTGTGCTCGTTCTCCATTTGACACAACACTATCATCAAAATACTATGTGAGTGAGATAAAAGGCAACAAGCTAATGTAGGGCGTTTGTCTAAAAGGTTGGGAATGTTCTGCATTCCACTCTATTAACCTACACTGCAGACACACCACAACACCTGGGACACATAAAACTGATTTCTACACCGAGAGTCAGAGGAAGGGAAAGCAACTAAAGGCAGATCTTCATTCAACATTACACAGGAATGAAATCTGAACAGAGAAATTCACACTATTTCTTTTACTGTATTTTCACACTATGGCCAGCAGAGGGCATTCAGAGGCAATGGCTTCTGTAGACAGTTCAAGTTAGGACACCTTGGACTGAAATAAACTTGTTTTCCAAGGCAAGATGCTAAACTGTTGTTCAATATGTTTTACAGTTGGCTTGCAATTGGCAAAATCATCAAACAAACTGTACATAAAACTGTTAGAAAGAAACTGCAGTGAGATCTGGGAACTCAGTGTGTGTTCATTTGTCCTATAGTGCAACTTGAGTCTATATTTGGTCAACAAATGTGTCTAGATTTAATGATTGTTGAATAAATGTTTGATTTTCACAACCAAATCCACTCTACAAACACATTTTCTTCGTAAACAACTCTTGTTTGCACTTTTCCTTATGTTGGGAAACTCAAACTGAACACGCCTCAGGTTAAGGAGGAAATCTAGCAACACAAACGCCAGCTGGTAACAACACACCCACAGAAAATGACAGGCATGCACCAGACAAACGGGAAATACCAGCTACGCTCAAGGACGAGCCCACCTGCTGGAGCACTAACACAAACGTATCTGATCTGACTGAGGCTTTTGTCTGACATCAAGATAGGAAAAGAATCAATTGTAAGACTTTATAATGCAGGAAAGCTCATTTAACACCATCCTCTTTGGATATGAGCTACTATTTTAGAAGTGGGGCTGCTATATCTATCATGTGCACCACATTTCCAGGAGTTATGATGTAGTGGTTCTAAATTGTAATGTAAAATATAAATGTAGATTTTTATTCTTTCACCCTCTTTCTCAGATGCAGACATTTGCTCTGAGTTCCCACTTATCAACTGTTTGTGGTCATTCGGTTTTCACAAAGCCAATTTTGACAGCGTAAAAGCAAACTCAGTGGTAAAGTCATAGCTTATCATTTGTTTATACAACAACCATTCATTTATAATCAGTCACTTATCGGTCTACTCATTCTCAGAGGAACAAAAGGTTTATTTATTTTCAGGTTTAAGCTGAACACAGCTTTCAGTAATGTGACACGTGTCTGTGTCATATAAGTAGGGTCAAAAAAAAGAACCCTCAGGCCGTGATGAGGGATGGGGCTCCATCAGACTTCTAGTTTCTGATACAGACTTTCATAGGTTACACTATTACAATAGTGCTACTATATACTACTGAAAGAAGCCAGTGGAAAAAGAGTTTTGTGATCACTGTCTGACCATAAATAAGCTGTCACTTTTTATTCTGTTGTGACAGACATGATGGAGAAATTCTGGCTTTCCCCTACTGTAACAGATAAAGTTGACCAATGACCAGCAAAGTGTTGCTTAATGTTTTTGGTCATATGATTGATAGCAGTTTGTTCACAACAAAAGAGGTTCCCTCAACAACAACAAACAAAAAGGATGATGATGCGGGAACTGCATTAAGGAGGTCCTATTACTGTTGGCTGTTGTGGTGGATGCTCCTGTTAAATTAGCAGTTAATCAAATTACAACAAGCCAACTGATGCACAATAACAATTTGAGGGCCTGTGAGGACCTAGGGGCTCTTTATAAAAATCATAAGAATGTAGCCTGATGTAAGAACACTGAAAGCTGAAAAAGCGCTCGTCTTACCCGTGCTTCTTTTGAATGCCTCCCATGTTTGTGCTGATGCTCTGTGAACTCGCTGTGGTCTTTCTGGAGACGAGAACAAGAACACAGCTCAGCACATTTGCATCATCTGCCGACAACAGGAACACCCCCAATGGGAGGCCACTCACCGGTATGTTTGAAGCATTGTCCAGATACACAGCAAGCATAGCACAAGCCAGGCCGTCGGTAGACTGGAAGAGAGTGACGGCATGATTTACACAACTGACCACTACTGGTGGGAGCCGAGCTACACACGGCTGCAACTCATAGTGAGGATTGAAAGACTGAGTGAGAGACTAAAACAAACACTAATGAAAATATTAAATGAAAGTGTTCTGATCCACACTGGGGCTACTGCACCTCCTTCAGCAGGCTAGAGTCGGTCTGAAGGGAAAGCCACTGGAGCTTGAGGCGAACTTCCCCATTCGGAACCCCCTCCAGAGGAAACCACTGCAAGAGCAGGAGAGGTTTATTCATCAACAGGACATTTCTTATGAGCAGCTCCAGTAAAAACTTGCGTATTTGTATCTTGTCAACAAGTTTAAATGGCACTAAGGTGGCTCGGTGGTTAGCAAGCAGCTAGAAGATTTGCATCCCGGTTAGGACCTCCTGCAGCGTGGGTTCCCTCCAGGTTCGCCAGCTTCCTCCTACAGATAACTGGTGATTCTAAATTGTCCGTAGGTGTGAATGTGAGTGTGCTTGGTTGTCTGTCTCTAAGTGTAGCCCTGTGATAGACTGGTGACCCAGCAGGGATTTCATAGATTATGCTTATCCTAAAGGACGCATTGTTGTACAGTTACACTGAAGCCATTTTAAAGCAGGAAGGGGTTATTTTACTGAGAAAAAAAACATCTTAGTGTATGAAGTTGATGCACAGGGTTATGTTTTTAGGTGTTAAATCAATGAGGGATTTCATCTATATAGACAACTGCAAAAGATCAGTCATCCTACGAAACCTGTAATGCTGGACCATCATTCTGTCTTTGGGTAGACACACTTGATCCATGTCTTTATTATCTATACCTCTGTTTAATAGTAGACACTGTTACTGAAAAGACTGGTGACTGTTTAAAATGCTGCTTATCACATGCAGGGGGGAAAAAAAAGAAGTGTTCATCACAAAGAACTGACACAAACCTGGGCCACCGAGCCTCATGCTTATGGATGTAGTTAAAGACATTTTTGTAATGGTCAGGATGACTTTTTTTGGAGGTGTATTGGACTGACCTTCAAAAAATGTAAATACATTTAAAGAGGATGCAAACTTGATGAAGGCGTCCCCCCTTTATTATCTAAAAGAAGCTCACCTTATCCATTTGTTTCTCCTTCTTCACCTCGCCAAAGTCAAGGTTATATCTAAAGCAGAAAGCCAACATAAAACAATGACAGTGTTAATTTTGTCAAGTACTCAGGACTCAGATTTACAGACTATTTGATGTCATTTCCAGCACGACAAGTTACGTGATAAAACAATGTTGGGTATTAAAATTACATCTGTTTCACTTTTGATTTTACGCCACATGCCATTGTGGGATATGTATGGCAAGGAACTGGCAAATATGTTACATAAATACATAATAAAAAAAAAAAGAAAAACTCAAAATTGTTTATGCTGTCATAAGATGATGTCTTACGTTCCAAGCAAGTCATCTTTATCTGTGTCTTCATCATACAGCTCCATCTCCAGCTCTTGTCCCGGAGCCTCGTGGACAACAAACTGCATGCAGACAGGGAAAAAGGTAGATGTTATTAAATGTCAGATGGAACAGTAAAGATCTAACCACCAAGACAAAGATATTTAGCAGATTACACACATGAAACAAGATACAGACAGGTGACAAAATAAAAGAAAAACCAACATAAAGTGTCTCAGTAAGGTGCTGGCCCACCACATGCCAACAATTTTCAACTTCACTGCAGGAATGAACGCCATTCTTCCCACGATACTCCATCATTTGGTGTTTTGATGATGGTAGCTGAGAGTGCTGTATTAAACATCAGTCTGAAATCTCTTATAGGTGTTCAACTGGGTTGAGCTCTGGTGGCTGTGAAGACCATAACATATGATTCACATCAATTTCATCAAACCAATCAGTGACCCCTCATTGGATGGGGGCACTGTCATTCTGAAAGATACCATTTCCAGCAGGATAAAAATGTTTCAGTATACACGTCAGCAACTTTCTATGGTTTTACAGTGACTCTTCCCCTCAAGGAGACAAGAGGACCCAGAGTCACTGGATCCCTTCACTAAAGGGGGTCGAGCATTCAGGCCCGTCCTGTTCTCTTAGTGTAGGTCACACATGCACCAATAATCTTGGTAAAGGTTAATCTGACCATATCACTTATTTTTTACATTTCTGTAGACCAGTGCCTGTAGATTCTGCAGCACTGAACTCCCAAACATGAATCTTTGTAATAAAAGGGTTTGTTCAATGCAGTCCTACTATAATATCCCTCTGTTTTTGCTGACAGTCTGATCACTGACATGCTCTGTCGCCTGAAGAAGAGTTGCATCACTTTCAACCAAAACTGCCAACTCTTTTTACTGATGCCTTTCTCATAGATCTCAATGCAAATGCCACTTTGCAATTCTGATTGAATTATTAGCTAGTTGAGTGTATCTGAAGCTCCTGCCCTCCGTGTCACAACAAAGTCACATACATTTCTTTCCTCTTCCAGTCTTGATACAAAATCAGAATCAACTGGTACATCTCAGCATTTCTACACTTGCTACAGAGAGAGTTTGGAGGTCATTTGCTTAATTGTTTCACTCAGCGCACGTGCATCTGCATACGTTGGGCTTCTTCACTCAGTTATTCAGATTTTTCCTCTAATTTGTCACCTGTCCATATCAGATAATTCATATTATATATGACAGTGGAGTCAGAAAGAAACCAAATAAAAACTACTGGAATGTGTCAACCTCAGCCTCCAAACAACAAGTTGTTCATGGTGATCTGAGCAGCTATGACAAACGAGTATTAATCTTTAGCTTTGCCTTTTGGGACGGAGCTTTAGCTGGTTGCCTGTTTTGCGTACTGGAATACGCCACAATGTTGTTCTGGCTTAATTATCATGCATTTTTAGTTTACTGGGGGAGAACTAAAATAATATTAAAGAGCACTAAATGGATGAAGCGGTAATCCCATTACTGAAATCAAAATACATATAGCTGCGGTTTGGTTGTGTTACTTTACCTCATACACTTCATTCCATTTTGGGTGCAAATTCTCTTTGACGGTCTTGCTTTTGACATGTCGGTTGCCGACTCTGAGTATGGTGTAGGGGTCCGATTTGCCTTTCACTAAACCCATCATGTATGTATCCTTAGCCACCAGGTCTCTGGCCTCCAGCAAGTGGACCCTCACCACCCCCTGAAAACCAAAGGAGTCAGAGGATTCACAGTTTACCAATACAGTCTCACAAAGCACACCTGCATTAGAAAACTAATAAAGCAAAACTAATAACATTAAAGTTTTATCAGTTTTATGTTGGTAAGGTTTTTGTTTTTTGTATCCTAAAATGTATAATATTTGAAAATGCAAGCAGCAACAGGCGGGAAGATGAGGAAAAACCTGTAAATTAGAAATGTCACAGCATATCTTACATACACGAGGAAGTGGGAACCTCATCTGGTCCACTTTGACCTGGTCTATAAGTGGAATGCACATGCGGTTGGGTAACACCATGAGAGAGGCGATGATGTCCATTATCGTCTCCTCAGACAGTGAACTGGAAAGAGACAGATGAGATGAGGCTAAACACCAGAAGGCTGCAGTGACCAACAAGACCCTGTGGAGGCATTGATAGATTGAGAGGGGGATTGTGTGGGAGCTAACCTAAAGGCAGGGGTGTCCAAAAGGTTGGTTGCACCCGTCCAGTTGATCTGCAGTGTCTGGAAAAAAATAAATACAAATTACATAAGTCTAATCACACAACTTTTACAAAAAAAAATACTGAAGAGATCTGTGAGTACTCACAGGGCGGCGAATGAAGAAAAAGGTGACTCCTCCCACCAGTGGTGCTTCACCAATAAGAGGTTCTAAAATGACCCTCAGCATCCCTTTGAGCTGGAAGATTCAGGGCAGTTTTTACAACAGTAGTAAACGTCTGAAAAAAAACAGGTGATGGAGAGAAGAATAAGATGCTCACCTCAAGTCCTTTCACACCAGCTGTGATTGGTGGTTTCACCTCAGCGTCGATGTCCACATCACCGTCATAACTGCAAAGTAAACAGTGCACGGCTGGTTAGATGATGGCAGAGGAGAACAGCATTGTTGTTTAAAGAGGCCATGATACATTTAACACCAAAGAAAGAGAAGGAAAGAAGGAAATAGGTCAAAAATGTGTTTGACCAACCTTATATTTAGGTCCAGAACCACCTCTCTGTGATCCACTTCATGGGTGTAGGCTTTCATCCCAGTGATCCTGGGAGGCTGAAGTTAGGGAGATAATTAGAGGAAGCTCCTCAGTCGTCTTTAATGACACACTACAGCCCTTTTCAGACATGCACTCCTTTCCTTTATTCTGATAGCATCTCACCGTGTCAGCTTCATTTTGAATTAACACCCTGATTACTGTAGAAATTTTAGTCAGTTGGACCTAGAAACATCAGTTTCAACCCATACTGAAACATTGTATGGGCACAAGTGATACACTTCAAGTTACGTGAAGTGATTTGAGGAAGGATTATTCCACATTTCCGCCCAGATTGTGGTTCAAAAACATCCCAGAGAGCCAAAGATAGAGTTTGCGTTCCAAATTCTGAAACACCTTTCTCATTCACTTTGCTTAACAATTTCACATCTATTACAAACTGAAATGTCCATAAAAGTAAAACTACACTGTGATGAAGACAGAGTGTCTAACAGGTCGGATTAATGAGACTGACCAATAATGAGCGTAATCCGAGTTTTTACAAGATGCTAACAGGAGCTGAAGTTCAGTTTGTTGCTTCCAACTGTTTGTAGAAGTCTGTCCTCTAACTGTATGAAATACCTGCAGCAGGATCCATATGAGTGTATCCACAGAGAGAGCTGCACACATTTACACACTGGAACGATAGCAGTGATTGCATTATCTATATCACTATCGCTGACATGGAGACAGGATTGATCAGAATATTGGCAAGTCACACTGTGGACTTTTCTTCACCTCAGACAGGTGGGCTGTCGCACAAAGTCACAGTTTACCAGCTGCAGTTAAATCATTTTGTACAAAGCAGCTGTCCTCAGGTTGAGTCCTGACCTCCATCCCAGCAGTCGGAATATTTTCATTTTACTGATGGTATAGTAGTAGTTAGACTATCATCACACATAGACAGAATTTTCAGAGTTTAGTCTTTTTGTCTATTACCACATAAATATGCATACTACACCACTTGATGCACTGTTCAGTCTGTGTGGGACAAACATCACACATGTACTATGGCTGTCCCTGTCACTGTAGTGAATGTATCCAACCAAAGTCACTGGGAGCATTAACATAACAGTGACCTGTGTCTGAATGACAGAATTGTGTCACATTAACAGAC